GCAAAGATAAAAATGCTGACTACTTCTGGCTTGTTGGAGTGACCAGCTGGGGGAAAGGCTGTGCGAGAGCGAAACGGCCTGGAATCTACACCTCCACTCAGCACTTCTACGACTGGATCCTGACACAGATGGGATTTCGCTCAGCAGCAAGGGCTTCTCCAACATCAGGGGCATGGAGTCATTTTCTCACTGCCTCAACCCCTTATCAGAGGCCAACACCAACACAATCGGGCAAGTTTAGCTCCTGCCCCTTTCCCCTTGGGAAGCTGGTGGAATTCTTTTCTCGGGCGCAGGAGCTCCTGCTGTTCCTAAAGGAAAAAAAGGCTTGAGCAACAGGATGAAGAGGATCCAGTGCAGGCTTGCAGCGTACCACGACCATTTCTTTCTGGGGCACTGCCTGCTGAGCCAAAGGCAGCCTCAGTGTCAAAGGCCTGCTCCGTCCTGCCCACGCTCCTCCGAGCACACACCAGTGCTGAAGTTGACACAGTTCTTGAAATAAACTCACCAGTTTTCACAGCTAACCATACTTCAGGCCAATTCAGTCTCCAGTGCAAGGCAGGGACTTCCATGCCTGGCACCTGCACAATGCGGCTGCGGGCAGACAAGTGGGGCACAAAGGGAAAGAGCCACAAAAGGGGCCAAAACTCTGCCTGGTCAGAGAGGATGATGCTTAGAGTCACCATGGGATGGAGGAGACTGGCATATCATGGCTAGAAAGAAAAGAGGAAAAATTGACGTGACATGCAGAAACTTTCGGGTATGCATTAAGGCACACAAGCTGATGATCTGGGCCTGGCATAAACCATAGCTAACTGAACATATCACGGGATAATTCTGAGCATAACAAGAGAAATTACCGACATAAGATTCGGCTGCCATGGTATGGGGGAACTGGAATGAGGCATTGGTTGTCTGGAACAAAAGGGATGTGGTGTGGCATTGCCAGGTGAGACCCCGGTGACCTGAAGTAAGGCAAGAGGTGGGTGCTGCTCTGGAGAGGACCCAGTGCAGTCCTTGTTCCTGTGATTCAGCAATGCCCTTCCTCTGTGGGCAGAAACTTCACAGGGTTCAGTCCAGGAGCGTGCAGCAGCCCAAATATACCCCGGTTCCCTTTGTGTGAGTGGCATTGGTCTGGTGCCCTGCTTAAGAGTCTCACACACCTTGGCTTCTTTACCTGCCCCGTGTCTCCTGCCTTATGAGGCTGAAAAGGATGGCGGTGTCACTAGCTGGCACCATGTCTCACTTGTCATGGCCCCATTGGCAGCATCAGGGAAGGGGTAGTGTGAGCCTGTGAAACCGATGGTAGGTGGTTCTCTCTTGCAGCCCATCCACCTTGCGGATGGCACGTGGAGGCAGTTCTGGCCTTCTGAAGTGTGGGAAGGGCACAACATACGAAGGTGGCATGAGGGAACCAGCAGTGGCTTATTGGCCAGGCCATATCACTCCAGGTAAGACTTGGCACTGCTTGTGCCTTTTGCATGCTGATGCCAGCCAAGGCAGGGTGTCATGGCAGCTTGGCTGCCCAGGAACAAGCAGAGGACTGGAGAGAGGTGAGGACGGCGGGATTGAAGTGGGATCAGGTGCTTGAACCTTTTCTTGTGCCTTGCTGTGGTGGGTGACAGGAGTGACACATGAACTGGCAAGCACCCTGGACATCCTGCCAACACTGGCTACCCTGGCTGGAGCAGCTCTTCCCAAAGTTGCCCTGGATGGCTATGACCTGAGTCCAGTGCTGTTTGGGTCAGGGAAGGTGAGTCCTGCGGGCTGGTTCAGCTGGCATTGTGCATGAAAGCTGGGTGTGGGGCTGAAGCTGTGTGCCTGATGAGTACAACCAGCTGGGGGTCAGGGGAGATCCATGAGCTGGGACCTTTTGTCTGGCCTGGGTCATGCCATGGAATTCCTCGGCTTCCCCAGGCTGCTCTGCTCTGACAACTGCAACATATTGCTGGGCCAAACCCCCATGGGCGCAGTGGATGGACAGCCCCAGTAGCTTGGAGTAGGGAACAAACAGGATGCTGCTGCTCGTCAGCTTCCCCCCTCTCTGGCCATGTTCTTGCTGTAGTATCAGGGCTCCTGTGTGACTCCCTGGAGTCTCTGCCTGGTCATGTTCCAGACTTTTCTTCAGCCTCATGGCTGCACAGGTGAGCTTAGTTCTGCTACTTCCCGCAGAGTCCTCGGCAGACAATGTTCTTCTACCCGCCATCCCCTGATCCGCTGCACGGCCCCTTTGCTGTCAGGCTTGGGAAGTACAAGGCCCATTACTTCACACAAGGTTAGTGCTGCCTCCTCTTATCTACACAGTCGACTTTGTGAAGTCCCATATGGTTTTGCTGTCCAAACCTCAAAGAGAAGAAACTGGGCTATGCCTGGGGGTCTCTTTTGCAGGTTCCTTTCACAGCGATACGACCCCAGACCAGGCCTGCCACGGGCTGACCCCGCTGACCCCTCACTTGCCCCCGCTGCTCTTTGACTTGGAGTCAGACCCAGCTGAGAACTATGATCTGCTGCAGAGTGGCGCAGGGCCGGAGGTTCTGCAAGTCCTGAAGGAGATCAAACTGCGGAAAGTGCTTTTGGAGCAGCAAATGGGGTTTGGAGAAAGCCAGATCAGGAAGGGCAGGGATCCCGCCCTGCAGCCCTGCTGCGTACCAAACTGCACTCCTAAGCCTTCCTGCTGCTACTGCTCCTAGCTTCTTGCTGCTCCATCCCCTTCAGTTGTTCCACACTGGAACGCTATCCAGGACCCACCAAACACCCCCTCTGTCCCCAACTAACCAAGCTCAGCCTTAGAGCTACCCTGCAGCTTTGGCTCAGTGACACCTCTGTCTAATAGAGTGCTGGGGTAGCCAACTGTGGGTTGGGGAGATTACCAACCCTGCTAGGAGCGCAGGTCAGTGGATCCTATGCTCTGCGTTGGATGTCCAAGCTAAGGCCTCTTGACAGAAACCCTGACTTGTTCAGGGTGGGATCATGGTCCATCGTCATCTCCAGAGCCAGAACAACTCCTTTCAAACCACAATCAAGGTGAAGCAAAGGGCATGCCCCAGTGTTCAGAGCTCCCAGCTCAGCTGGAGACATGCTCTGCACCTCTGAGTAAGAACAGAGCTGGAAGCTGCAGCACCATCACTCGCCAGGGGCCAAGAACACAGCAAGAGGAGGATGGCATGGATGGTCCTGGCAGCTTCAGAGGCAGGACCTTGTGCAGCTAGTGCAGAATGGACATGCCTAGGTGGAAAGCAGCTTGGGGTATGTGTGCTTAAGTACCTCCAAGTCCTTCATGACTCCAGGAGGTGGAGATGTGGCCAGTGGTTGTCAGGATTGGTCCTCTTGTAAGGTCTGTGGATCTTGGGGCTGATCAATCAGGTGGGCGGCAACCACATGCCATCCACATGACTGAAAGGGTCTGTCTCCTCTTGCTTGTGAGCTAGTCCAGCTCCAAGTTTCCCAGTGACTTGCACATGCACACAGCGCTCCCACCAGTCGCTGGCCCTAGACACTGGGTGTTTCCAACTGGGGGGTCCCCCGACCTGTGTTCCCTCCTGCCATTGCTAGCAGCCAGGCCTCTGGGCCCACCCCACCCCGGGGACAGAGCGGAGCCGCACAGAGAAAGGTTTGGAATCACTCTCAACAAGAAGGTAGGACGGGTTGTGGTGGTTACGTGCAAGGCTCAGCCAAACAAGCAATCCAACTAGCAGCTTAGGGGTGACTGGCTCCTTGATCCCCCTTTCTCTCCATTTTCCATGCTTTTATATCCCACTCACCTGCCTTGAGTGCTCCCTTTCTCCACCCTTGTGTCCTCCCAAATGAGGGACCTACCTGTGATTGTTTTTTCCCCCTTGCTCCCAGGTTAGCTAGGCTTGTGAACAGATTTGGTGTCCCAGGTGACATTAGTTAGATCACCTTGGACTTCTGTGGCATTACTGATGTGGTTTCCTGGCTACTGCTGTCCCTGCCAGACTCCTCTCCCCAAAATGACCCCAACCATTCCTTCATGTATCTGTGAAGTGTGGCCACCTCTCACATAATTCTCCTTTAACCACGTCCAAAATCTGGTGCTGGAATAGCAGAGTATCCACAGAAGACAAGTCTTCTCTAAGGCCTTCTTCTGCCTGCTCTAAGCAGATATGGGGCACCACCTTCAGGTCAATTTTCAAAAAACAAATCAGCCTTGAGTTCAGTTTGAGGCCCAGTCCTGCTGCCTGTAGGGCCTTGATAGCAGCTATTCCATTTTCAGACAGAGCCTGGCCTGCCATCCTAAGGACCAGGTTGTGCACTCAGTTGTGTGCCTTACATATATCCACACAAGCCAGGACGGCAGCAGGAAGCTCCTGCACTTTTCACAAGCGTTGAGGCTGCCATTCTTCAAGCTACCACCTCCAGGAACCTAGCCCCACTCAGCAAAGGCAGCGCACGTGGCTGGCTCCTGCTTTTCTCCCATGACTGCCCTGTGCTCCATCAGGTGAGCAAGGCTCCACCATCTGCTGTGGAAGGGAGCCTGATGAGATTAGGCTGATACAGGATTTACCAAAGTCACGGAGAATGGCATGTGGAGAGTGGAGCTGAATGGAGAGTGAGGATGAAAGCAGGAGCATCCTTCTTTTCTAGAGCTTGACATTGCAAGACCTTGGCCACGCATACCGGGTGCCACAACTGCCCTTGTCTACCTTGTCCCAGAGCAGCAACAGAACTCATAGACAGCAAGGACATGAAGCCTGTCAGTGGATGTTGCTATGGCTGACGTAGCCAGTGTGGACTGTCCTGCATCTGCGTTTCACTGTGCTGTGTGCACGAAGGTTGACGTTGCTTGGGTCTGCTTGGCTTATTTGCCTTGCACATCACTGCTTGCCTGCAGCGGCTGTAACCAGATTGGCTCTACAACACCCAAACTTGTGCATACTGCCTGCGGTAGTTGTGTTCTCTGGTGTCTGTTTTTGGGAAGGACCTGGTGGCAAAAGGCTGCAGAGAGCGGGGTGGCAGTGAATGAACTTCCCAAAGAGGCTGTGATGCCACACTTGTTTTTTTCCTGCTAGCCATGAGCAGGCAGTGCTTGGAGCCAGGCGCTGCTGCCTGCCACGGGGCCTACACACCCTCATCCCGCAGGCAGAGCAGTGGGTGGGGGTCTGCCGGGGGCGTCCGATCCCGGCTTCTGCCTCCCCTCCTGCTTCGAACCTGCCCCGTCCCCCCCGTCCCCGTCCCCGTCCCCCCCCAAGGGGCCACCGTGCCTAGCACCCGGAACCAGTGACTCTGTGACATCAGCCCTGTTGCTGAGGGCACCGCGGGCAACGTGAGTGCTGCGGGCACTGTGTCGGCTGCTGCGCCACTGGCAACGAGCCCTCGGTTCCTACAGCCCGCACGTGCTGCTGGTAGCGATGCGCTTGCTCCCCCTCCTCGTCCTGCTGGCCGTGTGCTGGCCTGCGCGTGGCACATGGGACAACTGTGGGTAAGTGGCCCGAGGCTCTGGGAGGGAGCTGGGGCAACCCTTGTGGGCTTCACTGGAGGGTGCCTGCTTGTCCCCCGTGGCCACACCACAGCTTCCCGAACCCCACGTGGAAGCCTCGGTTCCTTGCAGCACTCAGGCTGCTGGCCCAGCTCGTCTACGGGGCTAAGGCAGGAACGGGCCAACGTCCGCACGCCGCACGGGCTTCCCTGGCCCTGCTGTCCGTGCAACACCTGTGGGGAGGGAGGATGGCTGAGCTTCAGCCTGAACAGCAGCGAGTCATCGAACAGGACGGTAACGAGTTTCTGGTTACAGAGGGACCTGCGGGCTCCGGCCCATGGCTTCTTACTACGGCATGTCGCGTGTCGTGGGTGGCACAAGCTCCCACCCAGGGGCCTGGCCCTGGATCGTCAGCATCCAGAATCCCTGGCTAGCAGGTGTGGGGCATATATGCGGAGGGTCCCTCATCAGCCCACAGTGGGTTCTCACAGCAGCCCACTGCTTCGTCGAGGCCAGGTAAGGAGGACCAGGGAACGGGGATATCCCCACAGCACTCACAGGTGCCCTGTCCGCAGCACCACCTGCTACTCCCATCCCGTTTCCAGCACTGCAGAGCCCGGCTGAGAGACTGTTCAGGAGGAGGCTGCGCTGCTGCCACTGCTTCCTCGCAGCCTCCGGCTCGACATGCCTCGAGCTGAAGGCATGCTAGGGCAGTCGCACCTTCTGTAGCGCTGCTTTTCTCTCTCCCCTGTGAAGCAGAACGCAGGGAACTGCTGGGCTGCTGCAGCACATGTCTCTGCTCCCTTTAAGCCCTCTCTCCATCTGCCTTCCAGGGACATCAGGACGTGGCGTGTGGTGGTCGGGACCACCTACTTGACTCAGCTGGGCCCTGAGTCCCAAGTGCGCGGTATTAGGCGGCTGGTGGCTCACCAACGCTATAGTAGTATCTCGCAGAGGAACGACATTGCGTTGCTGGAATTGGACCAGCCTGTACAGTGTGGCTACTATGTACAGCTTGCCTGTGTGCCCAACGCCTGGCTGAAAGTGTCAGAGCTGACAGACTGCTACGTCAGTGGCTGGGGTTCCACACATGCAAAATGTAAGTTCCTGCAGAATCCTTGTGTCCCAAGTGCAAGCTCGGCACACCGGGGAGGCGGGCTGGGCTTCCTCACAGCAGAGGCAAAAGCCAGAGTCGGCATGTAGGGACGTATGCCTGTAGAGAGATGGGCCTGGCCCACTACCCAAAGCCAGACAGAAGGGAAACACCGGTACAGTGCCTCTCACGACACAAAGCCGAGCCCTAGGGAAGGGGTTCACCCAGGCAGGGAAGGAGAACTGGCAACAACCTCCTGAGTGTTACCTCCTTTCTGTGCTCACAGCTGGAGGATCAACTGCTGTCCTGCAGGAAGCCAGGGTCCCCCTCATCGATGTCAACCTCTGTAACAGCAGCCAGTGGTACAGAGGAGCCGTCCACACCCACAACCTGTGTGCTGGCTACCCGCAGGGCGGCATTGACACCTGCCAGGTAGGCTCACCTCCCCTTCCCTCTCTGCAGGTTCTCGCCCAGTGCCCCATCTGTCTCAGAGGCCGGGGACTCTGCCCAGAAAGCCCATCCGGTGCTGCTGGCAGCCCGTAGGCCCAGATCCCAATCCTGGAACATCCCCCTTCCACACATCCAGCATCACAGTGCAGAGAGGAGAGAGAGCACACCCTGCCTTACAGGCCTGTGGCTTCTTCCTAGAAAAGTTTCTGTAGGCTCCAGCAGCTGCAGAGCCTTTCTGTGCAGTGAATACAGCGCTGGCAGGTGCTGTGGGAGAGAAGCAGCCAGCCCTAGTGCTGACAGTGGCCACCTAACACCCCCTTCATCCTCTCTCCTCCGCTGCAGGGTGACAGCGGTGGTCCTCTCGTCTGCAAAGATAAAAATGCTGACTACTTCTGGCTTGTTGGAGTGACCAGCTGGGGGAAAGGCTGTGCGAGAGCAAAACGGCCTGGAATCTACACCTCCACTCAGCACTTCTACGACTGGATCCTGACACAGATGGGATTTCGCTCAGCAGCAAGGGCTTCTCCAACATCAGGGGCATGGAGTCATTTTCTCACTGCCTCAACCCCTTATCAGAGGCCAACACCAACACAATCGGGCAAGTTTAGCTCCTGCCCCTTTCCCCTTGGGAAGCTGGTGGAATTCTTTTCTCGGGCGCAGGAGCTCCTGCTGTTCCTAAAGGAAAAAAAGGCTTGAGCAACAGGATGAAGAGGATCCAGTGCAGGCTTGCAGCGTACCACGACCATTTCTTTCTGGGGCACTGCCTGCTGAGCCAAAGGCAGCCTCAGTGTCAAAGGCCTGCTCCGTCCTGCCCACGCTCCTCCGAGCACACACCAGTGCTGAAGTTGACACAGTTCTTGAAATAAACTCACCAGTTTTCACAGCTAACCATACTTCAGGCCAATTCAGTCTCCAGTGCAAGGCAGGGACTTCCATGCCTGGCACCTGCACAATGCGGCTGCGGGCAGACAAGTGGGGCACAAAGGGAAAGAGCCACAAAAGGGGCCAAAACTCTGCCTGGTCAGAGAGGATGATGCTTAGAGTCACCATGGGATGGAGGAGACTGGCATATCATGGCTAGAAAGAAAAGAGGAAAAATTGACGTGACATGCAGAAACTTTCGGGTATGCATTAAGGCACACAAGCTGATGATCTGGGCCTGGCATAAACCATAGCTAACTGAACATATCACGGGATAATTCTGAGCATAACAAGAGAAATTACCGACATAAGATTCGGCTGCCATGGTATGGGGGAACTGGAATGAGGCATTGGTTGTCTGGAACAACATGCATGCACCAGCATGCACCCCCTTATCTGCCCACATGCACACTCTAGGCATACACCCAATGATGCATGCACACGTCGAATGAACCTCCCACGGGGGCACATGAAAACTCACTTGTCTATGCATGCACGCACACATGTCCACGCACGCATACACGTATGCAGGCATACACACGTACGTGCATGCATACACACTCACAGAGGGAAGTGTTGCACCCACACAAACACATAGCCTGTTATCACCCACATGCTCTGGAGCTGCTTGCATGGATGCAGGCTATCACACCCACTCCTGCCTGTTCCCTCCTGTGTTTGGCCCACACGTCTGTCAGTGTGTGCTTGCTTCCACAGCACTGCAGAAGTCGGGCCTGTCCCTCCACACCCAGCTGCACGGACACTGTTCATCTGCGTTCACTGGCACCTGTGCACGCTGGGGCAGTCACAGCATGCCTTGCTCAGTTTCCTGCAGACAAGTTACCTGCCCACCGTGCACATGGTCCCCACACGTCCTGCCCTGTTCCTTGTCTGGTCTCTGAAACTGTCCCTGTGCCGTGCCCGCTCGCACCCCAAGCTCAGAGCCCTAACTGTTCTCTCAGTGTCCTGACTGCCAGCCCCCAGCGCCCTGATCCCTGTGGCCAGGCACCACACAGCAAGCACTGCCATGCCCTACGAGCAAAGTGGGCTCCATGAATTATGCAGCAGTTTTGCCTCCTGCTGCAGCACCAGCCTCCTCACTCTGCCTCTTGGCCCTGAATAATTGATGGCAGTGAGCACAGCAGCAGCAGCAGCAGCCCCAGCATCCTTCTTGTGCCAAGGGCCAGGCCGTTAGGAGGCATGGGGCTAGACACGCAGGAAGGCCAGGGGCTACAGTGACAGTCTGAACAATGGAGAACAGGGAGCAGTGGAAAGCAGAGTTAGCTGACACATTAGAAAGTGGTTGTAAAAGTGGGATGGGTCTTAAGAAATGCTGACTAGTAACAACAAGAAAATCTGGTTGTAAAAGTGGGATGGGTCTTAAGAAATGCTGACTAGTAACAACAAGAAAATCCAGAACAGACTGGTCGCGCTGGCTGGACGTAAAACAGAGGTGTATCTACATGCGATCATCCCGACTAGGACATTAGGCATTCTCACCCCTGCTTTGTCTTTGGGCTGAAACTCCTCCCCTCTGCCTGCTGGGTGATTAATCCTAGACCACTGCTGCTGTGCCTGTGCCAGTACACCACCTCTGGTCTTGCTTTAATCTCATTTTGGATAAACTGAACAGATGGAGAGCTTGAGGACATTCAACTCCTTCCTGTGCCTGTTTTCCGAATTCTCTCTGCTTTTCAAAAGCAAACACAGCAATGGGGTACAGCCTTCCCAGGGTGCAGAACCTTCCCTTTTCCTCCTCGTTCTCCTTATCATTCTCTTCCATCGGAGAACTGCTGTTGGTTGCTCTTTGCACTGTCCCTTCCTCACTTTGATTACAAGGCATTGATTTGCAGGATATGGGCTACCTGTGTTCAGGCACAACCAGCAGTTTGTGAGCCTGAACGTGAAAGTCCGTCACTGCTGTATGAAAACAGAAACAAACTTTGCCCGGTGTTATAAATCGAGACTACAATGGGTCGAACTCCAATTGAAATTTTATTAATTATAGCAAGTAGAATATGAGCAAAACCAGCGCTGGACGACAGGGCAGTCTGTACTCCACCAACTGCCGTACTGAGGAGAACAAACTGTCCCTTTTTATACATTTTTTTTCCCGCGTTCATGGAGTGGTGAAGATACTATGTTTCAACTGTTGCTGGGGTCTAGAGTGGTGGAGATACTCTGCGCATGTGCTAGTTGTTGTTAGGGGGTCGTTTTCTGCCTTCTGGTGGTCGATGATATCCTTATATGGAGTTGTTTTTCTTCTGTTTGTTTTCTTGGGATATCTTGTGATCTGCAGCGTCGGCCATGTGTGCACAAGCAACACATAATTCCATGAACGATCTCCCCTCCTCTTATTATCTTTAAGTCTTAATAAACAATATACTTAACTCATAGTTTCTCACACCCGGAAAGTGCCCAGGCTCCCACAGGGCCCAGCCTCCTCCAAACGATGGCATGCTCTCTGTCCCAAGGGATTTCGCACCCTGTGCGCATCTGGAGAAAAGCAGCTGCATTTGCTCTCCCAGAAGGCGGGAAGCTGGAAGCAGTGGCCCGGGCAGTGACAGGGGATGTCCGCTCGGGCCACCCAGCCCCAGCGGAGAGGACGTCTGTTTGCTGCCACACGCCGGGGTGCCCGTCTGCTCCCAGGACAGCTTCACGGTGTCCCAGCCTCCGCCCCGGTGCGGCTGGCTGCAGGCCCGGCTGCCGGTGCCTGCAAGGCTTTTTCCCCCAGAGACCAGGGGCTGCGCACCCGGGCTGAGTCCGCAGCCCCCAACCCTGGGCACCACCGAGGGGGATTCTGAGGGAAGCCCCTGTAGCTGACCGCAGCACGAGGGGGCAGGCCCGGGTCCCATGGGGCCGGCGGCACCGGGCACGGCGGCGGCGAGGGACCGGCGGCGGCGCGGACTACAACTCCCGGCATGCCCCGCGGCGGGGGGCGGGTCGCGTGGCTGCCCGCGCCTGTCGGGCTCCGTCGGTGGCGGAGCTGCGGGCCCTGCCCGGCCGGTGCTGGGGCTGCGGGTTCCGCCGGGGTCTCGCATCGCTGCCGCCGCATCGCATCGCTGCCGCCGCATCGCATCGCTGCCGGGCTCGAACACGGACCCGTAGTAGCCCACGTAGTGGCCCTGTAGCCCATGCTGACCGCGCGTGTCGGCGGGGCCTCGCCGGGCGGCAGCGCCATGGGGCCGTGGGGCCGGGGCCTGCCGTGGGCTCTGGTGCTGCTCGCCTTGCGCGGAGCGGCCGGCGCCCGCCCCAGCTTCGTCCTGTTGCTGGCGGATGACCTGGGCTTCGGAGACCTGGGCAGCTACGGGCATCCTTCTTCGGCCACGCCCAGCCTGGACCGGATGGCTTCCCGAGGGCTGCGGTTCACCGACTTCTACAGCAGCTCCCCGGTGTGCAGCCCGTCCCGGTACGTCCGCTGCTGCTCCTGCCGCTCTGCCTGGTGGCTGCTGCAGGGCCCCGCGGCAGGTTTGGAGGAAGCACGGCTCGGCACCCAGCTGGGGAGCTGCAGCACTGGGAGGAACGGGTGGTTGACAAACCTGCCGTGTGCCAGGAGGCCCCGGGGTCCAACTGCTCTGTGAGGGGACTGATGGAGCTTCCCAGCAGGCCGGGGAGGCGACAGTGGCAGCTGTGAGGCCGGCGAGCCAAGCTGCCAGGTGCCAGAGAACGGGGCACTCTCTGTGGAGGCTGAGCACCGCGACCTGCGCTGCACCCAGTGTGATGCCTGCCTTCTCTCCCTTTCACCTGTAGGGCAGCCCTGCTGACAGGCCGGTTCCAGATGCGCTCCGGGGTTTACCCTGGTGTGTTCAGCCCAGACTCACGGGGAGGCCTGCCGCTGTCTGAGGTCACCATTGCTGAAGTGCTGAAGGCTGAGGGCTATGCCACAGCCATGGTTGGCAAGTGGCACCTTGGCCTGGGGATTAACGGCTCCCTTCTGCCCATTCATCAGGGCTTTGACCACTTCTTGGGTGTGCCCTACTCTCATGACCAGGTGAGAGGCCTGTCAAGCCGCCAAGGGTGTCTTGGGGATGGCTGGGGGAGTGCCTGAAAGATGAAGCTTGCTTGAGAGCACACAGGCTCTCAAGTTCTTGCTGGAGCAGATGGGTGCGGGTGACTGATACAGGGCCAAGATAGGAACAGGGGATGTAAGGGTTAACATGAGAATAGCAAGAAGGGGATAATAGCAAGAAGGGGATAACAAAAGAAAATAGTTCAAGGGAAATAGTTTAGATAACGGTTAACAGTTCTGCTTAGTGAACAGACAGTTTGTAAAACACGGTGAGCTCTCTAGGCTTTATCAGTATTAAGCCGGTTGGAACTAGACCCGCGGTTTGGACAACAGCCAGTAAGAAACTGAGTCTGCGCAAAACCTGGGGTCACAGAGCGGACAGGAGGAAGAGGAGCTTGACTTCATCCCCAAAGACCCCCACGACCACCACCAGAAGACACTGCGCAGACTCAACTAGGAGGAGATTATGGAAATGCTAATTATAATACGAAGCGGGGATAGGTGTTGCATATGTATAGGCGTATTGCGAAATATTATGAATATGTAATCATTTGCTCTATAAATCTTAGGTAACAGCACCATACGTGGGGTACACAATAGGAGGAGTTATCCCCTGTGTACCTCAGCGCTGAATAAACATACCTACTTTACAATCTATCAGATTGTGGAGTCTATTTCCGCACGTCAGTTTTGGCGAGCCAGGCAGGAGACTCTCTGCTCGACTACGGGATCGACTGCGGGGCGGACTCTCCCAGGCGCGCCCCGAGCACTTTCCTCGGAGGAGCCTCCGCTACCAGCCGCTCACCGTGGGGGGCAGACAAGGACTTCCTGAAGCCGCGGACCAAACGGTATGTTTAAGGATAGGAGCCTGTAAGTCGTACGCGTGGCTGGGGCAGCTGGTAAATCGTGCAGAGACGTCTGGCGTGCAGCTAAGCCGGGTAGGTGCACCGAAAAGGCGCGAATTCGTGCAGGTTAGGGGAGTCTAGGGGGCAATTATACTTTGCCACAGACCGATAGAGCGGTCGCTGGCTCCAATCGGGGACCTGTTGGCCGAGAGGGCGGCCACAGGCAAGAGTGATTGAAAAGGCCTTTGTTCTGTTGTGTTTTTTGGTTTTTTTTTGTTTTTTTTTTTTTTACTCCTGATGAAAGTGTTGTAAGTGTGTGGACGTCCGTGAGATTGTGAGATTGTGAGTGAATGCTGTGTGGTGATTGTGTTAAGTGTGAGCGTTTGGAGTGAGTGTTTTACAAAAACAAGATGGGTAATACTCAGGGAGGGATATTAAAAAAGAGCCCTCTCGGCTG